GTGTGTAGAATAACAGGGTGTTCAGTGGTCAGGGAAATCTGGAAAACCGGAAATTGCCGGGGAGTTTTAGAGATCTGGAATTGTTGGGGAAAAGTCAGGAAATTTTACGATTTATCTGGAGTTTTTACATCGTTTCACTTTTTTTCAGAATAATTAAAAATTTTTGGAAGTTAAACTTTTCTTTGGCTCTCAGTACGCTAATTTTCAGCTTTGCTAAACATCAATTTATTTATAAGCGTGGTCAGTAATTTATATTTTCATCGTCGTGTTATTTCAATGCGTTCAACTGAGACGAAACTATAAAAAAAGATGAATCACTAAACAGTACTTACTCTAAGTTACACTATCTAGTAAGTTGTAAACAAAATGCAGTTAAGCAAAACGAAAGCATCATATAATGATATGTTCGTTCCTATTACACAATGTATTGAACATAGATGGTATAATTACTTTAATTTAAATTTTTACCTTTTTAAATTCGAGACTCTTGTTTCCCGAGAAAAATATTTCAAGGACTTCGTTATTTCACATCTACTTGATTTACCATACAGATGTACGCAAATTATGCATCTTGAAAAAAGTTACGCCAAACGGTCAGGGAAAAATTAATTCCGGCTCCTGGAAAACCTGAAAAAGTCGGGGAATTTTTTTCATTCAGTTTGCTGGACACCCTGAATAATTCAAGATACAAAAGTCTAAAAAATAAAGGAGGTAATATGGTTGGTGAACCGAGTTAGATGCACACAGACAGACGAGAATGCCTGGGCATTTCTATAATTATGGAATACATTATAGAAATATCTAAGCATTCCTGCCTGTCTGTGTACAAGTTAATTAAAAATAAAAAATGACGTGACAAGGGTTTCGGCCTGAGATAAGTGCGCGATATAGAGGCAATAATTACATAAGTAAGTCGTTAAAAGTGGTCGCAGAGGAAAGTTTGATGCTCCGCCTGTAATTTTTAGTGGCACTAAAAGAAGTCGTTGACGTTGAAACCTTCTTCAATCTCCTGAAGAGAGTAAGATTAGGAGTGGTGCTTCCAGGTCTCGTGGTTCCACGCCAATATAAATAACTGAGAACAATCAGACCATTCCTAATAGGGGGAGGAAAAACAGCCGTGTGTATCGGTCGCTCGTTACGAAGTAAACTTTTAATCGCTCGTCATTTGAGGAACAGCCGCAATCGTCGACGTTTTAATTAAGAAACTCCCGTCGCGCTTGTCTGTTATCTCGGCTAACTTTATCTCGTTTGCATACAGGAACAGGCTCACGATGCCAAACAACAGATCGCGACGAGTCCCGAGGACACGGAGGACATGCCCGCGGGACAGCAGGGCCCGCAGGTGCCGCGGCGGCGGGGCGGAATCTCAGCGGAGCCGGTCTCCGAGGAGGACGCCACCAGCTACGTCAAGAAGGTCGTACCTAAAGACTACAAAACCATGGCTGCCCTAAGCAAGGCCATCGCCAAGAACGTGCTGTTCGCGCACCTGGACGAGAACGAGCGCTCCGACATCTTCGACGCGATGTTCCCCGTGACCTTTCTGCCCGGCGAAGCGATCATTCGTCAAGGTGCGTGATCGCGCACCGTCTCTGCGCTTCTGTCTTGCTGGTTTGTCGTTGATTCGCCGAGTGAATGAGCGCTGCGTACTTTCCTAGGTGACGAGGGCGACAACTTCTACGTGATCGATCAAGGGGAAGTCGAGATATTCGTCAATGGCGAGCTGGCGACGACGATCGGCGAGGGTGGAAGCTTCGGCGAGCTCGCATTAATCTACGGAACTCCGCGCGCCGCCACGGTCAGAGCGAAGACCGACGTGAAGCTCTGGGGCATCGACAGGGACTCCTACCGCAGAATTCTCATGGGCTCCACCATAAGGAAAAGGAAAATGTACGAGGAGTTCTTATCCAGGGTGTCAATATTGGGTGAGTTTGCTCAGAAACTTTGTTCCTTGGAGCATTACTACTTTACTTTCTGCTCGTGACGATCAATCGGAATATCTTCTATTAGGATTCTGTGGATAACAGAATCTCGTTACTCCGTACACAAAGTTAAAGTAATCCTTGCAAGAATAAATGGAGACTATCAGTAATATTTACGATGCAGAATCCTTGGATAAATGGGAGAGACTCACAGTAGCAGACGCTCTCGAGCCGGTAGCGTTCGACGACGGTGAAACGATAGTCCGACAGGGCGAACCGGGCGAAGATTTTTATATAATCGTCGAGGGTACGGCGGTGGTCCTTCAGCAACGCTCGGAAGGGGACGAGCCCGCCGAGGTCGGCCGTCTAGGACCATCGGATTACTTCGGTAATAGCAAACTCGGGGCGATAACGAAGTGTCACGATTGCAAAATAGAGCAGCATGTAGTTGTCTCAAAAACGTTAGAATTCATGATTTTATCCAATAGCTAATGACGACGGTAAAACAATCTAAAGAGTCTCGGTTTAATTCAGTCACCAATCAATCACGAAACTTGTTAACTTTGTGTGAAATTATATACCGTGTGATCAACTTTACGTCAAAGAAGATCGAAAGGGCTCGTTCAACAACGGAAACTTTTTTTTCTGATACAGGGGAAATAGCGCTGCTGCTGGACAGGCCCCGAGCGGCGACCGTGGTGGCCAGGGGTCCGTTGAAGTGTGTGAAACTGGATCGGGCGCGGTTCGAGCGGGTCTTAGGTCCGTGCGCCGACATTCTGAAACGCAACATCACCCAGTATAACAGCTTCGTGTCCCTCTCCGTTTAAACGGACTCTAACTCTCCGCATCCTCCCTCCTCTTCCTCCTCCAGATCCGTCATCGCAGTCAATGATCGCTGCCGATCATCCCCGACTTCATTTCCACCGAGGGCTACGTTATTTCGCCGTACCATAGTTGAATCTTTTTTTTATTTGATTAATATTTATATATAAGTGAATTAATGTGTATTACGTCAGCTATCAATCAGATGTGTACACGCATACACACACAAACAAAATCACACACAGACGGTATCGTTAGAGAGACGCTGTTAATATATTTACCGTAAGGCTATTTACGCACTGTGTAGCTCGCGACTCGATGCCGACGCGCACGCGAATTCATATTGACGTTGGATCTCTCTTCCGCGCGATCTGTTCCTACTTGTGCGAGATTCTCACGTGCGCGGGAAATTATTAATCCGTTAACGTCTCACATTTTTCGAGAGGGGCTGAAAATCTATTTTTAAAAAAGAAATTTACGATTAAATCTCTGGGGGGAAAAAAATCCGCCAAGTCGGATACTAGCGGTACATGAACAGAGAGCGGGCTCTTACTGGCGAGACCATGCCCCTTTTCGCTCGAGGACGCTAACGGGTTAGTCCGGTTAATGGCACGTTGCGTACATCTCGAGTGCATTGTAGAGATCTGAACGAAGCCGATACGTGTGTCCCGACGTGGTTTCGAACTGCATCCGGACACGAGGTCCACGTCGAGGACGCAGGCGCTTATTAAGCTCGTGTTACTCGCGCGAATCCGCGAACGTGATCGAACCACGTTAAATTATTGGGAAGCCATTTTCAAGGCTTCTATTACATCGGGAGCGTGAAATTGCCGTACAAATTGCCGCTCCTGTTCGATGGAATTGATTGGTAAAATGCACCAAGGTTTTTCTACGGTTCGTGTATTCACGACGATGAATAATTCAGTCTACATACATTTCAAACGGAAATAAAACCTCACGACGTTGAATCGAACTTCGCAACTTTTAACCCGCGAACCGAAGTCTTTAATCAATTTAGCAAGTCTGTTCTATCGAATAGAAGTAGCGGCATGTAAAATAACTCGTTCCTTTCGTTGCGAACGTATAGTAAGTGTGCAAAACACACGTGTGAGTTTTCGCCTCTGATGTAAATTCCGATGTAGCTACAGTGACGAGCCAGGAGTCGCAAATATCCAACAGTGAGAGGATCGGCGTTGAAAGTGACGTTTTCTCGTTTACTGTTATATACTTTAAATGTTCTATGTTGTCTCATGGATTGTTAAATTATTTAACATTTAAATTATTTTATCTACCGATCGCGGATCGGTATATATATAGATATATACATAATTAGCAACGACAACGTAAATGTCGATCGCGATTTGCAATTGCGGACGTCGAGAAGCCCGTCGACCGTGGTATTTAATTATTAAGTGAAGTATCGTCGAGGCGAAGTCGAGGCAGAACGAGTCGCAATCTATGTCTCCTCTAAAAAGTGCGCTAGATTTATAGTACGACAAGCGAGACAAAAAATGAGGTACAACGTCAGAAAATTAAATAATTTATTATGCACAACATCGTATTCGGATCAAGTATGGTACAATGTCATTTTCCCTTTTCCGAATCCGTGTAATGCGGCTGATGCATGCACTCTATGCGCGCGCGCGCGCGAACGAACGAACGACATACGTACGCGAATGCAAGAGAAACGAGAGGGTCTTGACTACCTAGGGAATCCAACGAGAATAGGGCGACTCTAACGTCGAAGGGAGCACCGTCGCATCGCGCGCAACGCATAGACACTGGTTAAAATGAATTCCAAGATCACTCGGCACACGAGAACCGATGATGAACGCGCCACTCGTCGCGCGAGGCACGCGGCGAGGATCGTCCTCTCCCCTTGATCTTCGGTCTTCTGTCTTCGTTCCCGAACCCAGACGTCTTCGGCATGCGGTTCATCCACGAGCAACGATGTTCCAAGAATCGATCCTTCTTCTTCCTCCTCCTCTTTGCCTCCGCCTGATCTACCCGGTTCTTCTCGGGCTTGTTCGGAAAGTGACACTTGTCGCGATCAGGAACGCTCTGTTCATCGCTGACCGAGAAAAACGTCTCTCGAGTAAGTCACCGCGGTGTCCTTTCAAACGCGAATGCCTCTCGTGCCTCCGAATTCGTGAAACAAAATCCTTTATCCGCATTCTCTTTGAGGCATCTCTCCCTTCAAAGCGAGAGAAGCTTGCGTTGCGGCTCGGCTTGGGCGGATACGGGTCTTTTTCGTGTAGTAATACTTAAAGAAATACTTGGAAAATCGATCGAGCACCGGTGGCAGTGAAGCGGGCCATGCGCGTCACGCTACGATTGAAAAGGAGAGAGAGCGGTCGTCTCGTCGACGAATCGTCCCGAGTCGAGAACGAACGAAAGATGGGCTTTTTTTCCTATTGCGAAGACCGTAGATTGCGTTGCGAATATGATCCTCGACGTTACGAGATTTTTCTCATGTAATTTTTTGTGAGGTAGTGCCGAATGAACGGAAACGATCGTCCGTCCCGAGTTTTGTACAATTCCAGGAGCCCCCAGCGAGAGATCGGCATATATTGTCCTCTTGCGATTATGTACAATTGCGCGCGGGAGGAAACCGAACGAGGGAGCGTGTATGTACAAATTCACAAGCCGAAGCTGTAGTCGAAGTCCCAAGCTTTCAATTTTGTACCCGACGGTGATGAGATTGTGCGCCACCGTGGGACGATGATCTGAAGAGCGTTTGCGAGAGGTGGAGCCAGCACACACTGGGGCTTCCGAGAGCAAGGGAGATTTACGGAAACGTGTGTACCCCAGCGGAATGGAATATACGTCTGACTATACATACATATGTATATATATATGCACATGAGTCACACACAAGCGCACATATGCTGGAAACATATGCATATACACGTAATACGACACACGTGGGATCTATGCATGTACGCGTGTGTATATGTATGTGTATATGTAGGTGTGTGTGTGGCCCTTCTTTCTCGCATGTTAAATTTATCTTCCGCCACAAGGGGTAAAGGTAGGACATTAGAGTGGCGTTGCCTTCTACCAACCACCTAGACTACCACTGCTTGCCTTGCAGTCGATTTGCTGTCGAGCGAGATCAGCGTAAACCAAGCCGAACTCGCTGACAAATTCATAAAACTTGTCCAATGACTCAAAGGCCAATTCCGCTACGACGAAATGAACCGCCAAATTTTGCCGGTAGCTAAACAGCAGAAGAAATGCAAACGTTAGATAATGGCCGCATACATGGTGACATGGTAGTGAATACATAAAACAGAAAAAGAAACAATTAAATATGCAATTAACTTTCGGCTACGACGTCCTGTAACAGAAATCTGCAATTATAGTTTCATGTAATCCATGATTCTTCGTAGGTATCATTTGTTAAAACATGGCGCTGCAATTGGATTAGATATTTAGACGAATCAACTCGACGAAAGTATACCGATTAAATTTCGATATACTTTTTCAATATTACGATAAATCATAATTCAGGAAAGAATTTCCTTTTAGAAAACAAATGTAATACTGAAAAATACAGTGTGCTTGCATTTGTTGACAAAAGCAAGCTCTGTTCTCCAAATCTGCTAAGAACGAAATTTCTATATAGAAAATCAATTAAGGGATTGTGTACTGCATTATTTTTACGAGATAGTACAATAACACGCATTATGATTGTTACGGAAAATTGAATTAAACAAAATTTGTAAGCAAAATTGAACTTTTTAAAATGAATACAAATTTTCATCAATGTACACAATCCTTTAATGGAAGATACAACTTGAAAAATAATGATTAAACTTAAACACATGTCTAAGCAACAGTAAATAATGTGTAATACGTACGACTTTATCATGAATTTCAATGCCTTCTTTCGCTCTCTCGCGACAAACCAGTCCATCAGGAAGGCAGACATACGCGGCGCTGTCCTATACAGTTTGAAAAAAGCATGGAAGTTACCCAACCACCAAGCCGATCGTATTTTCAACGCGTGTTTTATGCACTCGTCGTTCTTGTCCTCTGCCGAAAGTGCCGCTAAAATTGTCGTTAAATCTGAAATGAAAAATATCGTAGAGTATTCCAGTGATATAATTTTGGGAAATGTCGATTCTCTTGCGTTGTTAATTCCGTTACGAACCTTGAGTGTTTTTCGTGAAGATGTAATAGAGAAACCGATACGCGATGAATTCGCATCGATTCTCACCGCCGAGGTCCTGATACAGCATTTTCAGCTGCGTCTGGCACTGATTGAACTCCTCGTGATCACCGCGTTCTAAAGCTACACGGGCGTGGGTTTCGTATACATGAACTGTAAACGCGTCCCTGATACCTTGCACGGTAAGATCTTGCCGGATGGATTTTAATTGGTCGCAAGCATATCTGTAGTCCTGGTCGGCCAGCCAACGTTTCTTGACATGGGCCAAAGAATTTTGAAGTACACTTACCGGTCGAACTGCAGAAGGAGCAGGAGCCTGCGAAGATATAAAAATAATTTTGTAAAAACGAATTGCGGCATAATTAATTTTACTAAAATTTTCATAGTGAAATACTTGACGTTCTTTCAACTGTAGATAAACATATAAATAATTTTGAGTGGCCACGCACCGACGTGAGACGCAAGTAAGGCTTCTCTAGATCCTTGCACGTGCCGACGATGTGGAGGCCGGTAAAGTCGAAATCCGAGTTCGGGTCATCTCTAATAATGACGCTGTTGACGACCGTCCTGGAAATGCCGCCGTTGAATCTGGCAGCGCGCTGCTGCAGCTTCTCCTTGGTTCCCAGCTCGTCCGTGTTGCCTGTAGCTAAACCAAATTCGGAATAGAAATGCGATTTAGCCTGCTTATTCTTCTTGGACTTCTTGTTGCCGTGATTCGCCTTGTTGCGCGCGGACTTTTTCACTTTGAGCGCCTTGTAATCGTGCTCTCGATCGCTAATGTTCGACGACGAGGACGTGCTGCGCCTGTTGTACCTGCGCGACGGCGGACTACGCGTACGCGAACGCGTCGACCTCGACCTCGAGCGTGACCGCGAGCGCGACCGCGAACGGGATCGCGACCTCGATTTGGATCTTGATCTTGACCTCGATCTAGACCTCGACCTCGACCTCGTCCTCGACCGCCTGCTGTGTGTCACAGAGAGACGCGCGCCAAGCCGAGCCCCGAGTGAACTGGAGAGGCCAGGCTTGCGCAAGCCTCCCTGTGCATTGACCAGTGGGCTCGCCAGAGGATTCGCCAGCTTTAACGCCGGCTTCGAAGGCTTGATCGTCATGGTCATACGTTCGCTGTGGATGCTGGGCAGAGGCTCCTTATCCCAGTCCTTCACCCAAAGCGAGCCGTCGTTCGCGGCGCGTGTGATTTTGCCCTTCAGTATGATTTCGACCTGGTCCTTATCGACCGCCGTCTTACACTTCTCGTAGCATCGGTTCACATAATTCTTCAAACTGTCGGGCCAGTCGCCGACCGGGCTGTGGGCAATATTGGGAACAGTACCAGCGCTGGAAACCGCGTTGCTGACAGCCGTAGTGACCGGCACGACAGGAGTAGGAGGCTCCTCACTTGGCGGCGGAGGGGCCGCCACCTCGCATTGCGCGGGAGGTAACGGTGGTAGCTCCGCGGGCTTGACGCTGGGTCCGTTAGGCATGAAGGGACCGCTAGTCGGAGCATTTCCCTGAAAGCTATTGTTGAATTGAGCTGCTAAATTTTTGTTCCGCTTACGCTTTTTTTTCGCGGCGCCGCTATTGCCGGACGGCGTGTATCCAAGACCCGTTTTCTTGTTTGGCAAGTTGAAACGGATTGTATTCTGGCCGTTATATTCTGGAAAGAATTGGTACTCATTTTACAGCCGTACGTTCAAACACTGCGCACTACAGAGATGGGCGAAGTGTATCTAACGACAGTAAATATTGACAGGTTACGTTAAATAATAATAATAAACTTTCAAGACAAAAAGAACGATTCTTTAACTCATCATTTGTTGATTTTTATACACCCGGACTTTTTCAAAATATTCTCTTTTAAAAATCCGTATTATCTCGTTATTTATATTACCAAAAATTAGCATATTATATTATAGGCTGCGGTCAAGCTGCCGCTGCAAACGCTTCGAAGCGTTTGCTCCCTCTTTTCATCTTTACTGAAAGCGTTCAAAGCGAAAGAGAAGAAGAAAGCTTGACCGCTGCCATATATACATGAAACACGTAACTTTTAGTAAAACCATTTAACAACGTAATTAACGTTTTCTCCTGTCGCAACTGCAACTTCTTCGCTCATCTCCATTCATTTTCAAATAGGATACGAGCGATTCTTACGGGAATTATCATTATGCATTCCATTCCAGTTACCATAGGGGAACGAATTATACATCATTCCTGAGTAAGCCATCGACTGTTGCTGTAAGTGATTGTTATGTTGTTGAGCTGGTGGGACTGCCGGTGGTGGACCGGGTGGCAATGGTGGAAGATCAGATTCATCGTCCAGAGGCATCGGAGTACCAGGTATAGGAGGTTGTTGATGTAACTGTTGCTTCGTCTGATTGTTCCCCTGTTGCTGCTGCTGCTGCTGCTGCTGTTGTTGCTGCTGCTGCTGCTGCTGTTGTTGCTGCTGTTGCTGCTGCTGTTGGTGTTGTTGATGCTGCTGCATCTGTTGAGGATTAAAAGCCTGACCGTATGGTGGCATCATGGAATAATAGTTGTACACCTGTCCTTGATGCGGTACACCCTGGTACCCTGGACCATACATTTGGCTGCAAGAAGAGAGATGACAAGAGTTATTACTCGCGAAAGCAACGCCACTTGACAAAAATTGCATAGTACCGGCAGAAAATTTGATACCACGTTACAGGCACTATCGAATACAGAATTCTTGACATTAGCGCAACGCCACTTTGTAACAATTCTGTAGTGTCGGCAGAGAATTTGATTATTTTGCAAGTTACGTTACAAGCAACGTCAGTATTTTCTTGACCATACCTGGCACTTTTAACAATGGCAGAAGATTTATTGCGAAAAACATTACCTCAGCCAGGGTTTGAGCCTGGACCTGCCTACACTCTAGGCGAGCGTCTCGCCAATTCGACCACCGAGGCATATGGTAATATTTGTCGCGAAAACAGTATAAAGATGTTATCTACGCGTATATTTTCGACGTTATAAGGTTTACTTACAAATACCATTACGTTATTGAATACAGAAATCTCCAACTTATCGTAAATGAAGTTCAACAAAACTCATCATTACTGAAATGTATCAGCCGAGGGGAAAACTGCTGACTAAAATCTTGTACACCAATGCCCACTAATGCCCAGTGGGCATTACTTTATCTTATTTTATCTTTATAATGTCCCAGCAAGGCCTAATGTCCAAACTAATGTCCAATAAATGCCTAGTAATGCCCACAGTGAAAAGAAATCTGATAGATTCAGGCCCGGTTTCACCAAGGCGAGTTAATCTAATCGGTCGGTTAACTTTCAGAGTGCCAACAGCCGAATATAAAACTGATCTTTATTAACCAATAGCTTGGCCTCAACCAGTCTTCTGTTTGAAAATGGACGAATCAGAATTTCTTTGGGATTTACCCAGTGAACTCTATACATACTGGAATGAGTGATCTATAGTTCTGGCTGTTGCCGAGAGAGAGGTGCGTTGGGTGAATCCTTGTCTCCTTCTAGTACTACCTGATTGGATAATCGCATGTAAGTGACGCCCTTCTTCTCGTCATTTATATGCGACTATCCAATCAGGTAGTACTAGAAGGAGACAAGGATTCACCCAAACGCACCTCTCTCTCGGCAACAGCCAGAACAATAGATCACTCATTCCAGTATGTATAGAGTTCACTGGATTTACCAGAGTGTAGTGAAGTCTAGCAAACTTTAGGAAATATCTTTCCTAACCAGAAGTTTGCTAGACTTCACTACACATCTGGTAAATCCTAAAAGGAATTCTGATTCGTCCATTTTCTAACAGACGACTGGTTGGATCTATCAGATTTTTTTTCAGCGCAGTAATGCCGCAAATTTGTACACCACAATGCCCTCGGTATCAGCGATACAGCAATATACCAATGTATCAGCAGTACAGTATCGTATTATAAATTATAACAATACATCAGCAATATTAAGACCGACCGAAGCGAAATCTTGACCGATCATCGCGTTCGCGCGACGAATTAGGTCATCGCGAACAACGCAACATCTACATACAAGACTATTTAGTCTCGCGGTTCGCGAAATCGCGCGTCTCCCCGGGACCTGCCTCGATGTGCAACGTAATCCCGAAGAGGCAGGTATCCCGCTGACGAATCTTACTCGTTCGGAAGAAAATAGAATCCAAGGCGAGCTCAAGCTTTACGTACGACGTGAACCACGAGCTCGACATGAGTCACCCCGTACATACGAGACGTATTTACGCAACGGGGCCCGCCGCGTTACGTTCGCCGCGAACGAGCAACGACGATCCTCGACGAGCGGATCCAACTGTGGGATCTAAAGCGAGATCGCGTGTCGCGCGAACGCAATTGCGAGACCGCGAGAGTCGGAGTGTCTCGGCGAGGCCCGTCGCGCCAAACCGAAATGGCCGACTCCGTTGTCCCTGTCGATCGCATCGGAGCCCAACGTCGCGGCTCACTCACCCCGGGTACGGTGGGAACATGTTGTGCATATTGTTCGGCGGATACTGCCACGCCATATTCGCCATGGGACCCGCTCCGATCGGCGGTTGCTGCTGTGGATGAAACGGCGGTTGCTGCTGCTGCTTCTTCTGCGACAACACCTCGCCTTCTGACATACCGTGGAATAAAAAGTATCAGAATCTCTCGCTCCCGGAGATGGCCGCCTCCCCCTCCCTACTCGTGGCGCGTCGCGGATCGCGATCTCGCGTCGAGTTACCGCGGGTAGGAGCAGCGGGGAAAAAAAAGGGGGAAAGAGAAACCAATGGGGGAGGGAGATTCACTTGGGAGACCCGTGATTTCTGTATTCTCCCGTCTCGTCTACGCTAAGAGATATCTCCGGCCCTCGGGACGCTTCTGCATACGCGCGCACGGCAGCTCGCGACGTGACACAACACTCGGACTCGAAGTCGCGTGAAGCGCGGATCGCGGAACGAAGACAAATGGTCGGAACGCCGGAACGCAGCTCGGTGACGGAAGCGACGCACTTCTCAGGCTATGCGCGCGCCACCGCGCGTTCGTCTTGCACTTTCAAACGGCGCGCACTCTCAAACTCCTGTCGAATCAATTTCGCAAACACTTGAAATATCCGACGAGACTCGAGAACTCGAGATTAGAGTTCAACTCGAAACATAAAGATAACGCGTAATTTTGGCCTACTAATTTGTATTAAAAAATGAAACGAGAGGAGAAGCTGAGTTATATTTTTTTTATCAATTTCTAAATCAATACGCGGTAGCTAATCAATATTTTTTAGTCCTTTCGTAAAAACATGACACGTGCAATGATAAAAGACTTCAGTGTTGTCACTTGGTCGTCTTGTCGTGTCAGTATATTGTTAGAAAACGTTCGTGGTTTACTTTCTAAATTGTACAATGCAACGAAAGGTGATTCGGGAAAGGAGCAGATAATTAGAAGAATGCGGCAGATTTGTAACTTCTAACAATGATATATTTTGGAACATATTGTCAATGGGGGATATAGACATTATAACAGATAAACTATATTTCGAAATATAAGATTCCGATGTTAAATGTTAGCCGGCGCAGCGAATTCGCTCTTCCATCCGATATAAGCACGCGCGAAGGCAAAGGAAGATGGATCTGACGTGCGAATCTGAATACGAGACGCAACGGCAGGATTCGGAATCGCGAGCGCTCGCCGAAAGAAATGAGTTGAAGTATTCAGCGAGTTTGTAGGCAAAGTACGTCGCGTGTACAGCTATTTTCTATTTTGTGTAACTTATGGAATGAGCTGAATCCGAAGAGTCACACAAGCGAGCAGGTTTCAAGAAGAGATGCACTGTTAAACGGATACCAAAAGGAATACATAATTTAACAGCATTCGCAAAAAGTTTATTCTTATGCAATTTGAATCAAATGAAAGAGATCTCAGTTTAATAAATATAAGTGAAATTTAATATCGATTTGTGACGTTAACAAAGTGTACAATGTATTATATTAGGGATTCAACGATCCACTTATAGTTTTAGAACAACCTGTAGTTTCCGTAAATTACTATAATCTAGACCTGATTGTATTTCAGATCTTTTCCAGCTTCATTCCATTCTTGCTTAATTAACTTACTTATATAGAATAATTGTGCAGTTCTTGATAATTATCCCAACTTTAAGCACAGAGCATGTACGATGACTAGATAGATTGTTGAGGAAAAAACAATTATTCAATGTTAAATAGTAAAATTTTAGCACGTTAAATCTCTTGATTAGAAAATCAAATATTCATAGGAATTTGTAAGCGTTAAACTTTAATTTATATACTTTGGTGCATTCAATTTATGCAATTTAAGTGATAAACTTTAACATATAAAGATGCTTCATATCAGAATACGAAAATTTGTAACAAACTGCATAAATCTAAAATCATAGCAGCAGCGCTTGAGTCGTCAACATTGCTCTGTGCTTAAATTTAAGATCGAATATCGTTTAATTCTTATTATATTACTACAATATATTATATCGATCGTGAAAAAAACGTTCAGAGAGATGTATAGGCGAAGGTACTCTTTTACATGATAAACATTCATATGACGATGGTAACAAATTCATCGAGAAACGGTGGTTCCTTTCGTCCGAACGCTTCGAGTTCTCGCAATCGAGAGACAAGCGGCAACAGACACGCCTCGACCGTAGGTATCACGTAAAAGACCCTGACGTTTTTTGTAGACTAGAAAAGTACAATCGACATCGAATACGCTGCGACACAACAGAAGCGCCGATCTTTCTTTACATTTCCTCTATGTTACTTTGTAGGCACTTTCTACGAGTAACCGGAGACTCTCGAGACACGCAACGGAAATCAAAACGTCTCCCCCGACATTAAATTAGCTTTACATCGTTTCCATGCGACGCTACGTGACCCATTCGTCTTATATTTTAAAAAAACTAAAGAATGATTAGGCGAGCATTGGAAAACGTGCAATATTCTCGTCACTGCTATCGAGAATGATACTTTTTTCTTGCTTTATATCATTACTGTATACAGTTCTCTTATCATACATATATATATTTATATTTGTGTATGTATGTATATATATAAGAGTAGGATATACATATATGCACATATACGTATATCCTACTCTCTTATTATCTCTCTCTAGTTGTTCGTTCATTAAAGATTTATTGCTTTAAATATAATTGCGAACCAATGTAAGATAGTCACATAATATACAGTGTTAAGTCTATGTCGCTATAGCTAGTGATTGGAAAGAGATAATTGATATATGTAAAGACACTATAGATCTGTCGAGCTGTCGAAACCCACCGTAACGTACCCATTACTCAAATAAGCCTCTTGCACATCCTTTCTTCACAATCAATTGTTCATATAGATGAATCGTCGCAAATCATACGTTAAACGATTTGTAGAACATAGCTATTGCGCCTAGTACAGAGAAAGTACAGTTGACAGTTGTACGCATGTTGGTAAGCTAACTGATACTGTCGGTATCCGCGCTTAATTTAATTTGTAAAACTTATTGCCCCCATCGATAATACTGCATCGATAAACAAACTATTTCAGTATCCGACGTTACGTTCGAGTGAGCCGTCTAATTGTAGATTATAATTTATTGCTGTGGAGCAATTATTACTTTGACTTTTGTCGGATGGACGAATCAATATTGTTCCTTTCAATTCAATTCATTATACTCTTTAAAAGCATCCCCTTAAGATTGCAAATTAGAACTTCTCTATTGAAATACGACTCCTGTTTCCTTTTATAAATACTCTAAATATATATGTATGCACGAGTGTGTAATACGATTCTCCTCGTTGACGAGAAACGAAAAGTTGATGCCTCCGTTAATTTAGCTACCTCTTGTTCATGGTTTTTAAGGCACCTGATATATGTATGATACGCAATACAATATGTGTAAGTATACAGACAACTTGTTATAATTAACAAAAATATTCGCTGTTATTGTAACTTAAAAATCATGAACCCGCGCGTGTGTTGATTCTTATATATATATATATAAATTCTAATTATCATCTTAAGATATCAGACAAACAATATAATGAGAGCGCAACTGAGAAATATCTGGCAATACTACTAGAGTATTGTACAATTGAAATGCATCTGTAAATTACGTATATAATCACGCGTACTTGATTACGCATTCTTCAAAAATTTCGAAAGGAAATAAACGCGTGTAGCAAAGGCAGATAACATAATCGCATCAAGTAGTCGAGAAATCATTCGTAAATGCATACTGCCGCTCCTAGAAACTCGCGAGAATTCTTATCTAGATGCGTACAATACGATAATAGCCGTTAGATTCATATATATATACTAGATTCATATATATATATATACTGAAATTGGCTTTTGGTAGGATGAGTAGAGTATGTAGTACCGCTTGGTGATTTTTATATGTAAACGATAAAAATACTTTTTGGATATATTGACTAGTTTCTGTCGCCTCTTCGTCGACGTCCTTCTCTCGCTTATTTTCAGCGCTCGGTCTAATCCGTACAACGATAACAGAACACAAAAGTGATCCACTTGGTGATTCGCGTCGGCAATAACGTTATTTTATCTTATATTACATCTCTTTACGGAGTGGTCGACGTTAAAAACGTGGGGTCTACCGCGGCTACCTTCGCGGTAAGAAACGCATGCATACAGAACAACAAGTTTTGCAACTGGGAACACTCCAATTCCTGTCGAAACGTACGCAAGATGTAAATACATGTCCCTCTAAGAAGAGCAAAGGTTGAAGGATTGAATGCAACACAGATCCTTAACTTATACAGTATCTTTTAGGTATTTGAAGCAGACACAATCTCTCAATGAAGAAATTGCACTTGATCTTCTCCCGAGAGAAGAATGAATCGGATCACCGTGTTGCAGTGAATCTTTCAGTCTCGCCAAGGAATTTGTGTTTACCTTCGTTTCGATAGCGATGCTGTCCGGCTCTTGGAAGTGCAATTTAAGCCTACTTTTACCATCGTCGCTGGACCCTCTCAGTTGAGAAAATTTGTAGCGCCACGCGACCTCGCCGATCCCCTCATACGACAACGTAAATCCTTGAGTCCACTCTAACGTTAGACCCGCGCTTCTGCTGTTGAAAGTCACCGGGAAGGTTTTACTCTGCAACGAAGGAAGGAAAGACGTGAGACGCGAAGGACGACGACGCCGGAAGAAAATGCGCGTCGCAACGTACCTTCAAATGCGTAACGGCCGAACATATGGCCGTGTGCCACGCCGCCTCGACCCGCAGCAGTTCCTGCCTGGTCTCGACGCTCAAGTAACGCGGCGGCTTCCCCGGACTCTGCGCCAAGAAGCAGTGCTGCCGCTCGTCCACATTCTCGGATTCGCGCATCACGCGGAACATCGTTTGATACACTTTGAAAGTCAACGCGCAGCGAGACCAGTCGCCTATGTTGCACTGGAAGCAACGATAAGAACGATTCGGCACAATCCTCGAATAAACCGACGATTCTAAAGGCCGAAAGTGAGTAAGATAAAGCGTACAAACTGACACATACAGGGGGTGTCTCAAACAACAATAGGTCCGGTCCTTTTAGTGCCAAGAATCTCGGTCTGTAACTTTGCCACGGTTGGTTGCTATTGCTCACCGCCTCGTTCACCCAGCCCATGTACTCTATGCGTTCGCCGACTCCGAAATTACGATTGTACAATTTCATCTGTGGAATTGAATTCGAGCTCGTCTCGTCAAACAGTTAATCATTGAAGCAACTCGGAGTATTACGCGCAGTAAGGCACGGCGGCGCTACAGTTGTATCTATGTCACTTATATCACCTGCAAATGCGTCAATCCTGTAATGTTATCAGTTATATATTTTAGCCATTGACTGAGAATAGCGCTATCGTCGCAGTGTATCACTCCTGTGCGCGCCCCGTTAAGTCCTCGCACTTCGAACGCGTTCCTCCTCAGCTTGTCGGTGCCGAATATGTATCTCGTCACGTACGCCATCATTAATGGGACTGAAAAACGCCACGTCAATTATTACCGGTACCACGAGCAATAATTCCCCCACGGAAAAATATATATTTCAAAAAGTAGGTGAAAATATATGGTAATATATTTCATACATTTGGTATATAAAAATTCTATTAAAAAAATCGTGTATAATATTAAATATGTCAAAAATATACTGAAAATGTATGTGAAATATATGAACAATATTTAAATATTTTTATAATTTCGCAATAACGCTCTTCGCTGTCGCGAGGCGGCGATCGCACGTTACACTTTCTCGCATTTAAAAATCAACCAACAGCGGTATATAAGAAGTGGCGAGAAATCGGATCCAACAGTTGTGGCAAATGAAATCAATTTGACCTCCGCTGGTAAAGCGTTGAGAACCTAAATTCTAAGATACTTATATAGAACACCTAATGCAATATTTCTTTTAATGCTTTTATATAAAATATATGATAAAATATACAAAATGTACAATGTATACATTAGACGTATACAATTATATACACAGCTGTGTATTATAACGTATATATATCATACATTTTATTATATATTTTAATACATAAATAATATATGAAAAATTCCAATTTATTGGTATTACATTTATCGCAGTAGTATATATTTCTTATAAACGCATATAATATAAAACGAGTAATATAAAAACGAATGTAAACGCATATAATATAAAACGAAGTTAATATAAAACGAGTAATATAAAACGAATGTATCCTTTCTACTTATTTTTATATATAATGAAATATATATTTTTCCGTGGGGCTCCTATATCGCGTATCTGTGTTGCGATTCTAAATATTTACATCGAAATATGCCGCGTGAGAAAAGTAACCGTCCGCCGAAGCTTTACGCGAATGCGGAGTACGGGGAATACGAGGGGAATTGGATTTTGAATGTTTATACTCGAGCGGAGGGTCATAACTACCTGTAATCACGTCCACCCATCTCTTATACTGCATCGAACTGGAAGATGCATTGGAACTTTGACGGCTATGGCTGCATCTGGGACTGCCACCTTGCCTGCTAGGCGATATCCATCCGTCTTCCGCCGTACCGTTGGCAACGTTATCCAGCTTCTCTTCCTTTTCTGTCGATAAGAGCATCGATATATGGGGGCGTATACATTCTCATTGTCATCCGCTATTTTTCTTGCCGATAATGTATATAATATTCCGGTACCGTTTTTCTGCAGAAATGGCTTGGCCGCTCGATAATGCTTGACCGTTAGAACCACTATATCGCCGGCATTCCTCAAAATATTGACAGCGTCGTCGTGGTTGCACGCCGTGATATACTCGCCGTTCACTGAACAATCGTAGAATGTGAATTGCGTAATTTAATAAACGGAGAATCGCATATGATAAATTCCGATTGTTTCGAGCGCCGGGGTAAAAACGGAGTCAATCGCTCGGTTTCAATAGCAGAGGGAGAGAGTTAAAATCGATACTCATTAACTGTGCACGGTGCCGCTCAACTATCGCGAAACTGTCAATTCGTCGCGGTGCGTAAACTGCAATCGGTGCAGGCATCGGAGTCAGGTGTCGATAGTAGATGCAACTTTCCGAAATAATTTAAGTACAATTAATTGCAGGAGGTAAAACGTGATGCAACGACGATGTAAAGTCGCTTATCCCGTTAAGCATTTCATCTGAATCGAAAAGAGGGCACTTGAACAGTATACAGAGGATAGATACGTGGAACGTAAGGTATTCTGGCGGCGGCATGATAACAACCTGTGTGAAAGTTGTTCGGTACCTTTGATAATTGCGTCTCCCACAAAAAGCTGGCCGCACTGATCGGCGGCCTGGCCCTTATAGATCCTCGATATCAGCACTGGCAGCTTATGCTCCGCTCCGCCCTTTATGCTCAGCCCCAAACCGCCGACCTTCTGCCTGGTGATTTGCACCATGCGCTCCTTAGCGTCCAGTGGTGGCTTATTGTGATTCGCTGCCTGCTAAAATGTATTCTCGTCTTTGACACGTTTCAACGGCGCCCGTAAATCGATAGAGGCACGGCACGTGCTGGCGAGGAGCACCGATCGAACGTCATTCACACGGGGGAAAATAGATGACGATACGATTATCGTAAAGGCACTCTACCTCGAGATCCTCCCGCTGGAGCTTGAGCACCTCCATGGACAAGTGCAGGCGCATCGGCACGGGCTTGCTCTTCCCATCGCTGACCGTCACCATCCCCGTCCGCACCTACCGACAATAAAATCAAATTCAACCAAAGCCGCTCGCCGCAAAATCGCCATTCCGGAAGATGCCCGGAGAAAACGCGCGTCCGTATCTAAAAACGGGGGGGAGAGACCCGCGCAGCACCTGCGAGAGGACATTCCAAGATCCCCGTGCGGGCTCGAAAATACGGAGCAGCTTTGTCAAACTACGACCAATCGATAGTCGACCGTCCATTTTTTTTTTTTTAACGAACCCAGTTCGCCCATGCTTGTCACAATTTATTAAAGGTGTCCCCGTATTGCCGTGTTTTTTCCGACAAGAATGACATAATAACTACACAATACCGTCCTCCTCATCTCAGCTCCGCGCAAAAAGCAACCTGCATTCGCAACCGGAAATTAAAGTAGGAAAAACCAGACCCGCGGGATTGCACAGAGAGAGAGAGGAGGGGGGGGGAGAATAAAAGTTATTTTAGAGCTCGGAGAAGCGCGATGCGCGGCACTCGGCGCGGAAGTAGCCCGAAGATTAAAGGGAGAGGAGGAGGAACGCCCGCCGTTACGCTGATAACGATAACTAACGAGCGCGCCCGGCAATATATTGATTGATTGAAACCGCGCCAAGTCATTGTACGGGCGTTCGTGCATGAGAAAGTATTTCGATAAATTCTTAATTGAACGTCCGCATTCATCGAGAGAGGGGGGGGGGGAGGGGACCGGCCGGCGATCGTCCCTAATTACTCCAAATGGCGTTATCGTTTATTACGTTATTTCCCGTCCGTCGCCCGGCGTGGCCGACACCCGATTTCCCTGCCCCTCGTGCCCAATGACCCCCTGCCCGCGAGACCGCAGCAGATCGGTTCAAATTAATTCGTATTTGTCAATTTGCCGTGCGGTCCGCGAGCGCGAGCCGGCGCTCGTCCGGCGAGGACCTCCTCCTCTACGCCGACGAGCGCGGCCGACGACTCCGCGCGCTGCGCTCCTTCTCCTCCTCCTGCGTTCGATAGATCGATTTCTCTCCCTTTCTCGATGCGCGAACGAAGGCCCTTTAAATTATTCGCCCGCGGTCCCATTCCGGCCGCGCTCTTTTTCCCCGACGATGACAGCCATAAGTGATGGAAGGAAAAATAGATAAATGATTGAGGAAGCCTGAGCGTTCGCGGAACGCTTATCGCGGCCCGACAGGATTTCAGCGAGCCATTGCTCATTAATGAGGATCCCTTGACCGGTCGTCCTGAATCGAATTCCCTCGGCGCGGGGCCGTCGGGCTCGTCGTGCGAAAATTGCCAATTCCCTTGTTTTGTATTAATAATCATCGCGCGTCGTAATGAACGCTGCATTTTGAATGGAAACCGGAGTACGAAGGAAATAAGAGTACAAAGTACGGTGCACCGCGGGGGCGCTTTAGGCAAATTCGCTTCGCGTAAATTCATTTTCACGGGGATTTAATATGCCATGCATATAAAAAAAGCCGATTTCGAAGGTATCCGCGGAGAGAGCAAACTGAATCTAACGCGCTTTTGCGTTACGCCGCGTGCAGCGGATCGATTTCGCGCGTGTCAAAGAAAATTGCGCTGGATCGGCTCCAAGGAGACGCCAAATTCTGATGCTTCGGCATGTTATATATATTAAATAACGTGGCATGTATATTAAGTGATAGTCGGAAATGCGGCCGATAAACGAGAAAAGGACGGAGAGATTTTCGTTACGGCGAACGGGATCGATTTCACCCGTGTCGAAGAAAATTGCACTAGATTGGCCCCGAACGTCCCGGAGAGACGCTAAATTCGTCGATTCGGCATGTTATGTATATTAAATAACAATCGGAAACGTGTCCGATAAACGAGAGAGAGAGAGAGAGAGAGAGAGAGAGAGAGAGAGAGAGAGAGAGAGAGAGAGAGAGAGATTTTCAGATCGTTGAATCGTCAAAACGGGACACGGCGGATCTATTTTAACCCAATTATACGCCGTATTTTTAGTAAAACGAGCTCGCAAGCGTATTCGTCATTTATCATCGTTAACAATTCGTCCGTTCCAATTAATCCGACGCTAATTAATTATTATTGGAAACGCCGAAGCGCCCGGAGGCACCGTCGGAGCGTGTAAAAAAAAACGAGGCGGCGACGTTTCGCTAAACAGAAACGCGTTTTCGCGAAATCCGCGAGACGCGTGTATTCCTCCATTATAAACCCCATTATAAACACGAACTCTGTATATGGTGCGTATTTTTACAGCGTCCGCGGGAGGTCTCGCAAACCGGCGCGTCTACACTGAGAGACTCATTTTGTTGAATGAAACAAAATTTAGTTGACTCAACTAAATTTCTTGTGTGGATATGAGCAAACAAATCTTTCAGTTGATGCAACAAATAATTTAGTTGGAAAATTTTGCTATATGAACGCACAAATTTGGCTGAGTGAACATGCGCAGAATCCTTTTATAATATTCAATTAAACAATTCAGTCAACAAAATGATTTAATCAAATTGTTTCGTTTCATTCAACGAAATGGGTCTCTCACAAGTGCACTTGTCAGTGCAGTCTCGCTTATTCTGCTGATTGTCGCGAAAAAACCGAAAGAACCGCCCCGGTCCGTGACGGGGTACCTTATACTATACAGGGTGTGTCCTAATACCCGTATATCCCGTAGATGGTGGATAGACCGGGGCAAACTGAATAGAAAAGTCCTGAATAAAAAAGTTGTCACGCAGCGAGCGGCGAGCTTTTTTGATAACTTATTT